TCAAATGATTTAATTCCCATTTAAAATCAGGAGACTAAATACGAACATTATGTGTGTGTGTGGTGTGTGTGTGTCACAGTGGCGTTTCTATATGTGCAAAAGTGGTGGGGCACAAACAACTTAGATTTCTATATATAAGCTTCTGCAGAGAGGTCATAGCTGGCGAGGCACTGCACTGACTCTTCAGGTTTACAAATATTATATTTTGACCTAAATCAAAATATAATATTATTTTCAAAAGCTTTTTTTGTCTGATGCTTCAATTAATTTTAACAGACAGTTCAACAGAAGGATACCCAAAACATGTAATTTTATCATTTAAATATTGAATTGTTCTCTCTTAGTAATATCCCATTTTCAATTCAAGGTTTTACCTTGACTTGAAGATGAAGTCCATTTGCCTGTCCTTCTGGACAAAAATGTTTATTACTTTTTTGTAAAAGTCCTCCCTATCTTCCTGTAGTTTCAAAAGTCTATCATAAATCTAATCGATAGATTTATGATTCGAAAATGATAAAAGGAGGATATTATCCGGCTGAACAAAACGTGCATTTATCTAACAGGTTTCCCACAGATCTTATTTGGAGCTATTTTCTAAAATCCTATGGAGAAATCTCATTGCTTTTTTGTGGAGGGAAGCCATGCACAGCTTCCTTCCTGGTTTTAGAACGCGTCTCTCTCCTCCACTTCACACACCACACTTTTCGTGGCACACGTACTTACAGCCAATCAGCTCTGAATGATGTGAGATGACGTATGGTGGGGATGGCAGCTCTATGCCCCTATGGTCATTATTTTTTGCCCCACACATTAAATAGGAAAATACTCTGAGCATGCGCAGTGTAGTTTTTACAGTCACCGTTCACTTAGACAGTGAGAGGAAGGGGCAGGATCGGGTTTTGTCCCACATGGCTCTAAACAGCTCAATAGGCACACACTGTAGACACTAATGAGAAGAACACAGACTAAAACAGCAATGTACAGACGAATCAGATGATTAAACATGATCTTAAAATATATTTTATATATATTTTAATTTATTTTTTGCATTTTGTTGTAATCATTATTTTAATACTTTCTGTTGACACTAGGTGGCACCTGCCCCTAACACTGGTGTGTCATACCAACCCTCCCGATTTTCGCGGGAGACCCCCGATTTCATTGCCCTCTCCCCGGTTTCCTCCCGGAGTCATATTTCTCCCGATTTCTGACAAAATCAGATTTACTCACGACTGTTTCCACTCGGACTTTAATACAGCTACACCATTGTTTGGTTTCCATGGTAGCGCGTCTCTTTAGCAGCGCGCGCAACTCAAAGTTTGAGAGGGTGAGGAAGATGAAAACTGAACAAGAATCGACAACTCCACCCTCTGCTCACTCCTTTCCTGTAAAATACAGGTCCAGCCCACACATATGCTCCATGGTGCCACAGGCATTACAACTACAATAAGCATGTAAATGTTAATCTACAGCTCCGGCGATCCACTAGCACCGAGACGCAGCCATCCTCGACAACTACTGTAGCGTCACCTTGGATACGAGTCCAAACAACTCACAGACACACAGGCCAGGGCGCTGACACGGCGCCCTTTGAGCATCAGATCTGACGACGCTGATTGGCTGAAATTATGTTTTGGCAGCATAGTATACAGATAGCAACAGTCAGCTTGTTGGCTGCTGCTGCTCTGGCTGAGGGCTCCTTTCTACCGCCCGGACGAGAGAGGGTAATGATACACGCTGCGGCCAGGCAGGAAACATGTGACTTATCAGTAACTTTAGACATCGTAAAACAATTTTAAACGACATTTTATTGTAGATTATACATTTTACTGATACCAATTATATAATATTTACCTTGTTCATTCAAAATAAAAATAAAATAAATGTTTTTTTTAAAAAATATATTTTTTTATTTATTTTTAATTTTTAATGACAATCAAACATGTGGGAAGAGGGTGGGCGGCGCCCCTAGCGCCCCTATGGGCCGGCCGCCACTGGGAATGAGCTAAATTACTTAGCTAGCTAGTGATGGAAAAGCATACTGTGCAAAAAGAGAGATGTATTTGCCTTTGGGGTTTCAGACAAAAAGGGAACCCAATGAACAACAGAAACGTTAGTTTAATATGATCAGCGAGAACATTCTCTCTTTATTGTATCTTTTTGAAAAAACAAACAAAAACAAAAAAAAGTATTTTGTATTTCTCTTTTGTTAACATTTCAGAATTCTGTACAGGATAAAAAGAAATAAGCACTGCTTAAGAACAGAGTCAAATCTCAAACTAGAAAAAACAAACAAATGAAAAATAATTCAAAAAAAAGAGGAGGTTTACAATACAAATTAGTAGTAAGACATTGTCTGAAGTGCAATGGCATAGCTCAGATGGGTTAAACGTGAAACCAAAAAACTTCAAAATAAAAATACTTCTCTATTTTCCAACAAACAGTAAATTCTTTACAGAGTAGAGACTGTATTATCTGATGTATTTAAACCTGTAAAAACATATTTACAAATAGCCATTATCTTTTATATACTTTTTCTCATAATCACATATATGTCAGCACCAGTAAAAAAACAAATAAAATAAAACAAAGAACATCAACAACAACAGTTTTTGTTAAAATGTTGTCTACAGACTTGGTCCCGATACATAATGATATTTGGAGGAAGCTTGAAGGGATTTCAAACCATTTCATGAACCCTTAATTTGAAGAAGACAAGAAAAAGGTCTCTACCTTAACACTGACCTAGAAATGTCTCTCTACCTTCCTGCCTAGAGTTTGGAGTGGTGAACTTCAGGTGTTTTCCTACACATCACCTCCACGTCTGACAGTGAAGCGGCGAGCGCTGCACTGCATTTCCTGCACAAGGAAGGCTTAAACAACCCCAGAACTTAGCTAGAACTTTTATTTCATCTCCCCCTAATAAACCTAGGGAGGGCTACAACCCCAACCCTTCGGCCTCCACACAGCGAGACGGAGGACTTCTGCTCCCGGAAAAAATGACAAAAACCGAAGTACAGAACGTCCTTCGTTGGGTGCTACAAAACGCAGCGACGTTTACAGGACGATGGCGGTTACAAGTTTGTATTTAAAGGGTTTGGATTATACAACGTCAACAACCATGAGAACAAACAGCGTTGATGGCGAGGAGCTAGTTTACAGAGAAGAAGGCTTTTTGGTTTGTTGATTACAGCGTCGTCCTCCAAACTTTCACTCTCGATGCGCTAAATACAAAGTAATGCAAGCACAAACACGCTTTCATTCATCTTTTTAACCGAGATTACAGAACAGTTAGAGAAGTAAGGTGTTATCTGACGACTAAAAACCTATCCGACACATATTTATTACTCAACCATTATGGCAAAAGAGCGGAGAGCTTGTGGAGGATGAGGAGTAAGGTTGACATGGGTTAGCTCGGAGAAGGGGAGACTTCAGTGGAAGCGCTGACTGATGGATGCTAACTGGCGTTGTCACCCCTAAAATGTGAAGTTTCTCTACGTTTATTAAACAAACTCAAGGCGTAGCAGTGGTTCATTTTCCTAGTAAAGCGCTGGAAGGGGACGACTTGTATTTCTTCACAGTAGTGTTACAGTATAGCACAGTTACGTTCTAGTTTGGAGCCAGGGCGTTATAGCTGCGGTACAAGAGAAGCCACGGTGGAAAGCAGGGCTACGGTGATTGACAACCAGCGGTGTCACAATGGAAGGGAAGGCTGTGCTGCGCCAGAACACATTTTTCAAAAGACAACACAAACTAAAGAAGAACTTTTTTCCTTTTTTTTGCACTTTTCAAAATCGACAAAGACACATAACCAGCATCATTGTTAGAGATAAAACACGGCAACAAACGAAACATGTGGGTGGGCTTTCAATTTTTTTCCCTTTCTTAAAAAGAAGAAGTCACTTGTGGTGCTTGAATACATTCAGTGCCCAGCGTTCGTTTTGCTTCTTGTCAGCGGATGCATGTGATGTGGTTTGTGTCACACAGGCAGAGGGTTTAATGTAATATTAGCTCCGTTAGCTGCCTCTCATCACATCCGCTCATCCTCCCAGGCTGGAGCTTGTTTGTCGGGTTGTTTATGTGTGTATATGTGTGTGCTTGCTTTAGCTGCCTTTTCTCTCCCTCCCTCTCTGCCTTTTTGCTCTCTTTGTCCTTCTCTGCATGCATACCCGTCATCCACAGCCACGCGCAGGAAATGAACCCCCCTTAAAAAACGCCACCCGGGTTGGTTGCCTAGCAAAAGCACTAGAGGGCAGACTGCGCTTGTGTGGCACAATAGAGGAACATTGTTTGTTCTGTTGTGATGTTCACAATTTAAACAGAGAATGGAGAGTGGGGAACGAGTCTCCGGAGAGAAGGTGGGAAAGATGGGAGGAGAGAGAAAGGCAGGATGAGAGAGAGATGAAGTGGAGAGAACAAAGTGGGAGAGTGCAAGGCGACAGATTTGTGTGTGTGCATGTGTGTGTATATAGGGGGCACAAATCTAAGGGAGGAAATGGGAGCGCTGAGAGTGCTTTCTACTCCCTTCAGCTCCTCACATAGTTGAGAGATCTGAAGCACTGAGCTGGGTGCCACAAACACACAAACACAAATAAATTGCTGTCTTGAGAACTAGTCTTGCTTCCCCTTCATCAGTCTGCTGTGTTCAATCAGCCCCACTGAAGCTCGGCAAGTGTTGCGGTGTAAACGGGGCTCGCTTTCAAACACTGGAACATGAGAACAATTCATTTTGCGGAGAAAAAAGGGAAAGGAATGAAACACACCTCTTAATCTCTATTATGGTTTTTCATTAATATGCACAAGACTTAATAATCGCTTTCTCCATGTCTCACACACACACACACACACACACACACACACACACACACACACACACACACACACACACACACACACACACACACACACACACACACACACACACACACACACACACACACACACACACACACACACCACACACACACACACACACACACACACACACACACACACACACACACACACACACACACACACACACACACACACACACACACACACACACACACACACACACACACACACACACACACACACACACACACACACGCTCATGTTTTAGAAAACAATAACATGCCAGTCTGCATCATGTCATCCTTTTTGTTTTACTTTCTCAGGTTTTTAGCATTTGTCCGACTTTAGTTCATCCAGTAAAAACTCATCTCCCGTTGGCTATTGGTTTGGGAAAAACTCCTCCATCCAACCATCGCTTGAGTCCAGCTCTGCCCCTGAGCCATCGCCCAATCCGAAGGCTCCTCCCCCTGAGGGCCCGCCCCCATATCCATAGGATGACATGTCCTGATTGGCTGTCCTCTGGTAGCCCGGTGGCTGACCTCCAACCCCGACTCCCCCTGGTCCGTAGGGTCCACCCCCTCCTCCCCCTGCCCCTATCCCAGGCCCCCCAGGGCCTGGGCCGAAACCCCCCATCCCAGTCATCCCCTGGCCCATCACCCCCTGGTTCATTCCCTGGTTCATGACCATTGGCCGGGGCTGGTTGGTCCTTGGCTGACCGCCCATGTGAGGGCCCATCATTGGGCCGCCCATCCCCGCCGCTGGGTTGCCCACCCTGGGGTCCATTCCCTGGCTCATGCCCTGGCCCGGACCCTGAAAGTGTTGCTTGGCCATGCCCTGGGGTTGACCCGGCTGCATCCCATAACCCTGGGCAGACCTGAACCCCACCATGTCCCCTCCCCCTCCTCCTGTAGTCCTTCCGATTCCTCCCCCCAAGGCCTGCAGACTCTGTCCTTGCTGCTGTGGCCAGCCACCCGCCGCCATCCCCCCGCCTCCGCCTCCTGCTCCCAGCATGCTTTGCAGTCTCTGTGCTTTGGCATTCGGGGGTCCTTTCAGGGATTGCTGTGTCATCGAGTTCATTAACATCCCCTGGCCTCCGTACCCTCCGGCTCCACCACCTCCGGGACCTCCGGGCATCCCTCCGACCCCAGGACCTGCACCTGCCTGCCGGGGCGGCCCCCCGGCCGGGTTGTGCTGCGGTGGAAGACCCATGGAGGCTTGGACACTTTGGCTCTGATGCTGCTGCTGGTGGATCATTTGGCTCATGGAGGGGTTGAGCCCGTACAGGGAACCCTGGCTGGACCCCTGGTTGCCGTAGGGTAGACCCATGTCAGTTTGCGGTCCCACGGAGCCCCCCTGACCCTGGACAGAACCCATCTGGACCATCTGCTGCTGGTTCTGTTGCTGCTGCTGTAGGAGACGGGCAGCCCGGATGTTCTGGAGAGCCTGGCTCCTTGAGGCCAGATCCTGAGGAGGACCTAGGGGAGGAGATTCAGAAGAGTTAAAGATGAGAATAAAGACAATGAGATGGTAAAGAAATAGAGAGGCATGTGGAGACAGAATTAATAAAGGAGTTGGGCTTTGTGAAACAGCTTTGGAGTCTGTATGCTTGATTCACTTAAATCACCAACTGGCACGTAAGACGTCAGAGCGGAGGCAACGATTTATGTTCCGTGACAACCTGTTTACTCTGGAAAGGAACACTTCTCTCCAAATGAAGTTCAAATCCGACCAGGCTAAAGTCAAACTTAACACACTAAAGCACCAGCACCTCACTTCTCCACTTTTCCCAGAGAGAGCCTCGGCAGTGCCAGAGCTGAGGAGGTCTGCCTGCTAGTGTGGAAATGGCTCCAAATCTTCTAATAAACCCACTCCTGACATCATTCCACTAATCCCTCACCTCCCAGCTCGGACTGTATTTCAACAGAGGAGTCGGAACGGAGAGGATCACACACTCCAGACTCATGAGTAAGGAAACGAGTAAGGTAATGTAACCAGACACAATTGCCACACGTATCCCATATACCTTTTCATGTATATAAAAAGCGTACAATTATGTTCTGATTGCAATGGCTTTTAAATCACTGCTGCGCCGCAGGATAGCTGAACTTACAGATACATTTCTAGGCCAGAGTTTCCTCTCTATATTATATCCTAGATGTGCAGACAGACTCTGATGGCTATAAATGGCATTTCAGCTTGACTCTCCACCTCCCTTTCTGTATTTTTCTTCATCTCTCCATCCCCGTCTCTCTTTATTTCTCTTCCCAACCTCTTCTTCTACCTAGCAGACCATCTACCTATTCCTCTTGTTGCCAGCCTCCCCCCTTTCTCTCCCACTTCCCTCCTCTCATCCATCTCTCTGACTTCACCGGAACTCTAGGGGATCCAGGACAGACAAGTTGCCGTGGTAACAGGCAGAGCAGGAATATTCTGTAATTTTTTTTTTCGGAGGGAGCGAGAAAAAGGGAGAGGAGAGAAAGAGGCTGAAGAGCATCTGAGCGCCAACAGATGCATCTGACAGACGGACAGAGGCAGGGTTTGGTTCAGGGTGATGCACAGCGCATCTGTTTGCATACATGTTTTACGTGTCTATCTGTGTGTGAATATGTCACAGAGTGAACTGTAAAAGCTGTTAAATGTCTTGGCTCTCCAACATGTAAACCATACTTGTTGCAGACCAAGTGTGCATGTGCGTCAGGATGCCCTGCAAAGGACTAGGAACTGATTTACCAAAAATCCGTTCACTAACGTGGTCATCAATAACATGCTGGCAAATTCAGGTCAGGGCTTGACTCGTTTATTAGGAAATCTATGGGGAAGGTTCCATTTTTGCACAAATTGTGTGATTTGTTGGACAGTTGAAACGGGTGCAGGTGTTGGTGTTTCTCACCTTGGTACTGATTGACTTGGGGGTATGGATTCCTCTGGCCTTGGCCCATCTGCCTGGGGAGATGCTGCTGCTGCTGTTGGAGCTAGACACACACAAACACAATTGTTAAAAGGGTAGGTCAGAAACGTCTTACATGACTTCATCTCTATTCCATGAATCCAATATTTTGTATCATTATAGGACCCAGTTAGCAATGGGGTTCAAACCGAAATAACAGGTCAAAAGATTTTATGGACGTAAAATATTATTATCTAAAGGAGACATGTTATACTTATTTTCAGGTTTTTTTTAGAACATGTTTTTATGTTCTGAAAACACACTATTATTGTCAAACAATTATAAATACAGGAACCGACCTAACGTTTGAATTTTGATATCTCATCATTTAATTCCACTGTGGTATAGCAGGAATAAGACAGATGTTTGGTGTAGCAGAAGTAAGACAGATGTTTGGTGTAGCAGAAGTAAGACAGATGTTTGGTATAGCAGGAATAAGACAGATGTTTGGTGTAGCGGAAGTAAGACAGATGTTTGGTATAGCAGGAATAAGACAGATGTTTGGTGTAGCGGAAGTGAGACAGATGTTTGGTGTAGCAGAAGTGAGACAGATGTTTGGTGTAGCAGAAGTAAGACAGATGTTTGGTATAGCAGGAATAAGACAGATGTTTGGTGTAGCGGAAGTGAGACAGATGTTTGGTGTAGCGGAAGTGAGACAGATGTTTGGTGTAGCAGAAGTGAGACAGATGTTTGGTATAGCGGAATTAAGACAGATGTTTTGAATAGCAGAAGCAAGACGGATGTTTGGTATAGCAGAAGTGAGACAGATGTTTGGTATAGCAGAAGTAAGACAGATGTTTGGTGTAGCAGAAGTGAGACAGATGTTTGGTGTAGCAGAAGTAAGACAGATGTTTGGTACAGCAGAAGTAAGACAGATGTTTGGTACAGCAGAATTAAGACAGATGTTTTGAATAGCAGAAGCAAGACGGATGTTTGGTGTAGCAGAAGTAAGACAGATGTTTGGTATAGCAGAAGTAAGACAGATGTTTGGTATAACAGAAGCAAGACAGATGTTTGGTACAGCAGAAGTAAGACAGATGTTTGGTACAGCAGAAGTAAGACAGATATTTGGTACAGCAGAAGTAAGACAGATGTTTGGTATAGCAGAAGTAAGACAGATGTTTGGTATAGCAGAAGCAAGACAGATGTTTGGTATAGCAGAAGTGAGACAGATGTTTGGTATAGCAGAAGTAAGACAGATGTTTGGTATAGCAGAAGCAAGACAGATGTTTGGTATAGCAGAAGTGAGACAGATGTTTGGTATAGCAGAAGTAAGACAGATGTTTGGTATAGCAGAAGCAAGACAGCTGTTTGGTACAGCAGAAGTGAGACAGATGTTTGGTATAGCAGAAGTGAGACATATGTTTGGTATAGCAGAAGTGAGACAGATGTTTGGTGTAGCAGAAGTAAGACAGATGTTTGGTATAGCAGAAGCAAGACAGATGTTTGGTATAGCAGAAGTAAGACAGATGTTTGGTATAGCAGAAGTGAGACAGATGTTTGGTATAGCAGAAGTAAGACAGATGTTTGGTATAGCAGAAGCAAGACAGATGTTTGGTATAGCAGAAGCAAGACAGATGTTTGGTACAGCAGAAGTGAGACAGATGTTTGGTATAGCAGAAGTGAGACAGATGTTTGGTATAGCAGAAGCAAGACAGATGTTTGGTATAGCAGAAGCAAGACAGATGTTTGGTATAGCAGAAGCAAGACAGATGTTTGGTATAGCAGAAGTGAGACAGATGTTTGGTATAGCAGAAGTGAGACAGATGTTTGGTACAGCAGAAGTGAGACAGATGTTTGGTATAGCAGAAGCAAGACAGATGTTTGGTATAGCAGAAGTAAACCAGACGTGAGGTAAAGTAGATTTGAGACAGATGTGTGCTTTCAGGACTATATTTGTGTACAGTATCTGCAAAAAGCTGTCCTATAAACAAGTCCATAACTGATCAATGTAGGAATAGGAAACCCTGATGCTCTACAGTAGTTGTTTTGCAGCTATAGAACATTAGGTTTGCATTATTTTGGATCCCACCAGTGTAAAGTGCAGCTAATATTAGCCTGGGAAGCAGAAGGTGTATTGCTCATCTAAAATGGACGTAGGTTATCCATTTAAGAACATCCGCTCAACCACAGCAGGACTGGTTCCTCTCAGACACCTATATTTGTGAGTCAGTGTATGTTTTCGCAGATCCAATTAAAACCAACATAGTGGGTGGTGACTTCAGAGTTCAGAACTCTTTAACACTTGATTCCCTCAGAGAGAGAAATGAAAAGAAAACAGCACATTACCACAGCAGACGGCATGTGGCAACAATTAAAACACACACACGCACAGACACACGTTGCAGAGATGAAAAGGAAGCCGTGAAGAGGGGGCTGGTTTATACATGCAACCAGACAACAGTGAGGAAGAGGAGAGGATGAGCTGCACACAAACACATATACAGACTGCATGAACAAAACCAAATAGATTTAACGCATGACAGCATGACACAGGCCTTGTGTTTTGTTTTTTAAATCACACCACCATCATGCCACAAGTGATTTAAAGACCCTCACCTGCTCGGCCAGTAGCTGCTGCTGCTGCTGCTGCTGCTGCTGCCTCTGCTCCCTGAAGAGCTGCTGCTTCTGCTGCTCCATCATGTGCATCTGCACCCTCTTCTCCTGCTCCATTGCCATCATCTGCTTCATCATGGCCGCCTGCTGCTGGTTGCCCACGTAGCCCGGAGGAGGCCCCGAACCCTGGTTGGGCCCCACCCCAGAAGCCACGCCCCCAGCAGGGTGAGGAGGCGGGATGGCGCCCGGCGGTCGGGACATTCCCACCACACCTTGTTCCTGTATAGAGGAGAGGAGAGGCAGCTGGTCAGATCCACTGTTAAGCAATCAAGAAAGGAAAGCGAATAGTTCAATACCTTGAGATATGTCTGCTAATTTGATTTGGCCAAGAGGGTTGAAGGTGAAAAAAAATGACACCACTCATTTTCTTTAGTTAAACACACGGCTACACCTAGCAGCAGGCTAGCTTAGCTTAGCATAGTGAATGGACAAAAGTAGGGAACAGCTAGGTGCAAAGATTCAACAATTAGTTGTAAGCTATAAAATTAATTGCAAAGTTTCCAATCATCGATTAATTGTTTGGATAGTTTCCTTAAAAATGTCCGCAAACATTCTGCTATTAGAGTTTCTCGTATGTGAACATTCTCTAGGTTTCCTTACTCCTTTATGACAGTATACTAAAAAAACAAGACATATATGTGTCTTAAGCTTGATGAAACACAGATCGTCATTTTTCTCACCGTTTCTAAAATGTAATAGACAAAGAAATTGATCAATTAATCAAGATAATAATATACAGATTATTGACAAATACAAATAATCCTTTATTCCATTGGACACATTTCCAATGCTAGCGCTTAGCTAAGAAAACTGCCGTCTAGCATTAGCTTCATATTTATCATACAGATATAAGCGAGGTATGGATTTTCCAACTCTAACTTTGCCAAAAAAAAGCAAATCACTGTATATCCCTGAATGTTGAACAATTGCTTTAAAGTCCTATGTAATGATTGTATAGCTAAAGGGTAAAGCCAAGTAAAACAAGATAACTGAATCTGCGTAACAACAACTAGCAAAGCCATTTTAAACTGACTAACTAGTGCCGTCCTTACTGCTTCTTCTCACAGGTACAAAAGGAAAGCATACTACCAGCGGTGATTCCACAGACAGTGGCACCTTTGTACAGTATGTTTCAGGCATAAAAGCGTATTCATCCCTTGTTTTGTATGAAAGCTCACAAAGACACAGTACAGCTGTTTGTGAATGGGAGTGAAACAAAAGATAGCGACAGGACTGCCTCAAGATTCGGGCCACCCCGAGTCCTCCCAATGGGGGCATTGGACGGTCCGCTCTGCATACATTATCTGCACATTAGCATATAAAGAGCACTTCCTCCGCCACTCAGCCGTATGCTAATCTCTAATAGGATGAAATGGCCTGCTCAGACCAATAGGAGGGGAGCGTTTATGAATCTATTAAAGGTTAGGCAGCTGAACGAGAGTGGACACCGTTTAGGGCCCCGCCGGCAGAGAGGAGAAGAAAGAGCGATTCAGGCCAGTAAAGACATAAGAATGCAACAACACACAGCCACCCACAGGAACAGACAGTGTACAACAAATCACATTTAACTGCAGGGCAAGAATGAAACAGCAATAGCAGGATTACAGTACAGCACATTGTAGCACTGGCGAGAGTCTGTAACACATACTCAATATGTTTTGAAAGAGCCAAAGCCTCATAATCCGTACTGAGGCTCGGCTCTTCTTAGAAAGGAGTTAGGTGGAGATAAACCTCATATATTAGAGCACAAAAAAACCCTGTGGAGCTAACAGAATGGGCTGCTTAAGACCGGCTCACCAGACAGCAAGAGCAGACTGATCGATGCTCAGAGCTACGTGTTCTTACTGGACGGGCAGTGAGACGGTGTGAAAGGGAGCAGAGAGGGAGGAAGGAGAGGTGTAGTGTCAGGAAGGGACCAACGGGTGGCAGTGGTGATCTTTAAACATGCATATGTGTGTGTGTGTGTGTGTGTTTGAGTCTCACTGGCCCACTCTCAGCAGATGGCTCAATCATGACGGTTCTGATCTACGATCTCCCCCCCCCCCCACTCACTCTACCTCTTTTCTTCCCTCCTCTCTTAAACACCCCACCATCAAACTCCTTTCTTCACTCTTCCTCCGGATCTCTCTCTTTCTCTTTGCAGACAGGGGGCCCTGAGTCATGTCCGCACAATTGCCAGGGAACGAAAGTACAGAAGAGAGATGGATTTGAAAGGAAATGAGGAGGGGGGGGGAACTATCGGAGAAGAAAAGAGTTTGGTTTGTCGGGGTGGTGTGTGTGTTGCAGAGAAAAGTGGCACAGTAGCAGAATATGGTTAAAAGAGAAGAAAAAGAGCTAATTAATTAACGGTAATATTTTAGTGTTATTAGTACTTCACTGAAGCGTTGCTAACGACACCAAATGAAATGTCACGCCAATAAAGCTTATTGAATATAAAGCAGGTAACCTCAAATGAATTGAGGAGGAGAAAGAACAGTTTGAGGAAAGAGGCAGAATGAGGGAATAAGGAGGACGGATCTGGGTTTTGGAGAAAAGAGGATCAAAAGAGGAGGAGTAAAAGGTGGGATCGCGGGGAGCAGGTACTTTGGCAACAGTTGCTGTGGCGAGGAGAAGATGGCGCACGGAGGAGCTATGGCCGCCGCTCCTGGTCAACCTCAACACACACTCGCAAATATCCTACATTTGACTTCTGTTTCTGTTTATCAGTGCGTCTTCCATTCTCTCTGCATGTGGTTGAATAATGTAACAAAGAGCCGCGGCCCCTCGGACCGGCTCCTGCAAGTCCCTGAACTTCAAGAGGAATGGGTCATCAGCTGATCACGAGACTCCCAACTAACAGAAGGAGGAGCTTTTAAAAGCTCCAGCTATACGAGCAAATAGTTTGTAGTAGGGATCAGAGAGGATGAGATGTGTCGGGGTTGTTCCAGAGGATGTGTGTGTTTGTTTGTGTGTGCGTGCGGTGGAGGCTGTCAGCGTTATTGAGTTAGGAGGCATGGAGAGCCAGGTGATTACATTACACACGAGGTGAGCGGAAGTGTGTGTGCGTGTGTCCATGTGTGTAAGTGAGAGAGTGGGGGGGGAGAGATTTCGTTCCTGGGTCTCATGGAGCGGAAATATGAATCTACTGTATTCAATGTGTGTGTTTTTAAAGGTGTACCTGCATACACTAGTATGGTTATAAACTGGGGGTTTGAACCAGTGACCACACAGCGCCTAGATTAACACATTACGCTCATTTTCAGGTACATTTTTGTATTTAGACGCTTTCATTTTTAAAACAGGTCTTTATTTTTCTAATACTGGCTGTGCTGCAGCACCTCTTTTCACCCTCTGAATTGTTAGCTCTCCGGCTCTGTTGTGATTAGTCAGGCGCTTAGTGATGTGTCCCAAATGTCCCGGCCCTTAGCCTATCACGTACAATGTGTTGGAGCGCTAGCCAATAGAAGCACAAGTGTTGCATAGTGGTGTCACTATGTTAGGGGAGTAAAAAAAGGAGTTCCAGGCAGGGGGGGCTGTGAGGGATACCAACTCGGATTTTAGCCTTTGCAGACCATTTACATGCACACAAACCTATGTTACACACTACAAGAAGGGGAACACCCGTTCAACATGGGTTTTTGAATACAGATTGTGTTCATAATCTATGATGTCATCACCTTATAACAAATGTAACAACTTTTTTGTCATTATGGTAGTTCAAGAGAATTGTACAGTTCTGGTATTTCTCTTTTGGTGCGGCAATCGAAAAGCAAACAGTTTTTTGTGAAAGTTTTTTTTTCACAGTGAAAAAGTGGTTTTAGAAAGGCTAATCGGCAAAAATATGGCAGAATATTTAGTTAAGACAACATTTTTTTGAATTACCGATAAGGGATAATGGGGGGATCCCTCACCCTACCCCTCGCTATCGCGTGAAGGGTCTGCTTTATGCGCTCTGCACAGTAACCCTGCTGCGAGGCTCCGGCGAACAGTTCATGAGCGTGCTCACTAGCGCACCCCCCCCCCCCCATTCATAAAGTCAAGTACCCCTCAAAAGGTCCGGTTTATTTCATTTTAAGGATGCGCACCAAGCAACATCTCCAGGTGCTCCTTTGAGAACTAGGGAAACAAAGTTATGTGCAGCCCTGGATATAACATCACTCCTTTTATTAAATGGATCTTGGACACTATGGAGTTATGAGAAACGTTTGGATCACACAAGTCTGAAACAAACCTGTGAGCCACCATGGGAATCTAAATCTACAGATAGTATTATACTAACAACATTAGTGAGGCCACATGTATCTGCAACTGTGCAGAAATACCAGCTTAAAACAGAGTCAACAGAGACTACACACACGCACCAAGTGTAACATATGCAACCTCATTCAAGCGCCACAGATAAACACAGATGGAAGGACTACTAGAGCCCTACATGATACCTTACAGTTGATGCATAAAGATCACACACACACACACACACACACACACACACACACACACACACACACACACACACACACACACACACACACCACACACACACACACACACACACACACACACACACACACACACACACACACACACACACACACACACACACACACACACACACACACACACACACACACACACACACACACACACACACACACACACACACACACACACACACACACACACACACACACACACACACACACACACACACACACACACACACACACACACACACACACACAAAGAGCAGCGGCGCCCGGCAGCAGAGTGCTGGGTGTCTGTGTGCTCTTCAGAGTGGCTCACATCTGTCACCCACTTGTGTAAGAGAAGGAAGGGAGGGAGTGTGAAGAGGAGGAGGGGAGGAGGAGAAGAGAGGAAACAGAGAGTGAGGGCTGGATGGACGAGGAGATGCTTCATTAGACTCTTACACACACTACGACTGCAATCTTTCCATTTTTTCCCCCTGTATTTACGGTAGGATGCTGCAGCAGCTTTGCGGTACAGATGCATGCAGCGAGGTAAAGACTGAAGGTCAAAGGTTCACATCTCCTTCACAGCCAGCGTTCGTCAATGTCTGAACGTCCTTGAGCTTCACACTGGCTGACCTTGCACTCTGAACCTGCTGGTGACGCCTCACGTGTGTAGAAATATGCAAATCATAATGCTGGATAAGACACCAGTGGTAATGGTACTTGATGCCTCCCAGAGAGCGTCCATTCACATCCAGCCTGAATCAATGC